CTGCCTATGGATTTCCCTGTTTTAAATATTTCATATAAATGAAATCATTCAGTATATGATATTTTTTATGACTGGCTTCTTTTTCCTTTTTGAAGTATTGAAATGGAACCCAGGGGCTTGCTACTTCTTAGCTACATACCCACCCCTTTGCATTTTTTATTTGGAGACAGTATCTTGCTAAATTGCTGAGGCTGGCCTCAAATTTGCAATCCTTCTGTTTTAGCCTCCCCAGCTGCTGGGATTACAAGCATGCACAACCACACCTAGTTTCATATCTTTTTATAATGCTTTTGAAGCTTATTTACATTGTTCTGGCTCTCAGAACTTTATTCATTTTAATGGTTTAATAATATTCCATTGTATGTATACCATGTTTTGTTTACCCATTCACAAGTCAATGGACACTTGGGTTGTTCGAACCTTTTGGCTCTTGTATTATTGCTATAAACATTACTATGCATATATTCACAGTATGTGAATACTGTTCTAAATTCTTTTGGTATGGAGTGGAATTATGGTCATTTTAAAGAAATCAACAAACTGTTTCCCATAGTGGCTATGACATTCCACATTCCTATCAGCAATGTACAAGAGTTCACATTTCTCCATATCCTTGCCAACCCTTGCTTTTTTAGCTCTGTTTTTCCTCTTTGTTAAATTATAGCCAACCTAGAATTTGTAATGTGGTATTTCATTGTGATTTCAATTTGCACTTACCTAAGGACTAGTAATGTTGAAAATCTTTTTATGTGCTAGTTGGCCATTTGTGTATTTTTTTTTCTGGAGAATTATTTATTCAGATCCTTTTCCCCCCCTTGTGGTGCTTGGGATGGAACCCAGGACCTCGCACACTCTACCACTGAACTACACTCCCAGTCCTAATTCTGATCCTTGACTCATTCCCCCACAACTACTCCCCTCCACCATACTAGGGCCTGAAACCAGGGACACTCCACTGCTGAGATATATCCCAGATGCATCCACCTTTTTTCAAAGTACTGGTGATGGAGCCCAGGAGTGCTCTACCAATGAACTACATCCCCGACTCTTTTTATTTCGAGACAGGGTCTTGCTAAGTTGCCCAGACTGGCCTCACACTTGTGATGTTTGTGTTTCAGCTTCCTGAGCCTTTGGAATTACACACCTGAGCCACCAAGCCCAGCAAATCCCTACTCTTAAAATTGGATTTTTAAAAAAAATTCTTATATTTTAGTTCTTTATGTGGTGCTGAGGATCAAACCCAATGCCTTACATGTGATAGACAAGAACTCTACCACTGAGCTACAACCCCAGGCCCAAAATTGGATTGCTTTATTGACTTGTAAGAATTATTCATGGGGCTGCAGTTGTAGCTCAGAGGTAAAGCACTTGCCTCATACGTGTGAGGCACTGTGTTCGATTCCCAGCACCACATATGAATACGCAAATAAAATAAAGGTCCATCAACAACTGAAAAAAAAATAATTCTTCATATATTCTGGATACTAGACCCTTATTATATATGATTTACAAATGAATATTTCTATTTTATCTATTCACCTTCTTCAGGGTGTCAGTTATTACATGGATACAGAATTCTTGATTGCTAACCTTTTCTTTCAACATATTTGATATCATCCAACTCCTTTTTGGCTTCTATTGTTTATGATGAAAAGCTAGCTGTTCACCATATTGCTGTTCTCCTGTATATCATGAATTGTTTTGTTTTGTTTTTTCCTTGCTTTCCAGGGTTTTTCTCTGTATTTGGGTTTAAAGAGTTTGATAACAATGCAGCCAGGTATGGATATTTTTGTATTTATCCTACTTGGAGATCATTAAAGTATATCTATGTATAAATCAATGTTTTTCAAATTTGAGCTAAGCACATGCTTTATCACTAAACTGCACAACCATTCCTCTATCATTTTTATAATGCCATTTTACTGATCTTCTCTGTGAGAGGTCATTGTCATCATGCTTTCCTTCAATTATTTTTGTTTTATTTCTTTGAACATGTTTAAAACAGATGCTTTGAAATTATTTTTTTCTGTGAAGTCCAATATCATGGCCCTTCACAGAGTTTCTATTTACTACTTTTTCTTTTGTGGTACTGAGGAATTGAACACAGGATAAGCACTCTAACACTGAGCTATACCCTCAGTCCTTTCTTGAGTATAAATCACATTTTTCTATTTATTTTCATGTCTATTACTTTTTGTATTTAAGATATGACATTACAGATAATGTAACAATGCCCGTATTCTGATTTACACCCCCCAGGGGGTTGCTGATATTGTTTTTGTAGATTTTCATGCTTATTAACTTGCCTGAACTAATTCTGGATCTGTTTCCACTGCATTATGTAGCTGACGATATCTTGATCAATCACCTTATTGTTGTTGCTGTTATTTGGGGGGGAAGGTACTGGGGATTGAACCCAAAGATGCTTTACCACTGATCCACATCCCAGCCCTTTTTATTTTTTATTTTGAGACAAAGACTAAGTTGCTTAAGGCCTTGCTAAATTGCTGAAGCTGGTCTTAAACATACGATTCTCCTGCTCCAGCCTCCTGAGCCACTGAGATTATAGGAGTCCAGCTGTTAGGTATTATTTTTTTTAACTTTTATTTTATTTATGTATTTTACTTATTTATTTGGAATAGCAGAGATTGAACAATGGCACTCAACCATTAAGCTACAACCCCAGCCCTATTTTGTATTTTATTTAGAGACAGGGTCTCACTGAGTAGCTTAGTGCCTTGCCATTGCTGAGTCTAGCACTGAACTCGCGAAACTCCTGCCTCAGCCTCCCAAGCTGCTGGGATTACAGGCGTGTGCTATCATGCCTGGCTCTTTTTTATTTTACCTTGCCATAATAAAAAATGATTTTAAAAAATGCTGGTATATTTCTTACATCTTCAATGTTTAAAATTTTTAATATTTAAAGTCATTTGGTGGTAGACTGTGCAGAGCCAATTTGGTAGGTTGGAACCAATATCTCCTAGAAATCTCATTGATATGATTTGGGATAGTAGTTAGACAAAAATGGAATAAGATCTAGAAGACAGAGTGAGGCACTATTGAATAGATTTTAATAATCTTTCTATATTCAGATGCAGGGAATGGCTTTCAAGTTCCATTTTGTCCTCTGCTCTACATATAGATTTCTTTCTGAATATTGGTCCTGCTGACCAACAGGTGTCCCCAAAGTACTGCTGAGGATAAAAGCAATAACAGCTACACAGAATAATAGTCTCCCACAGACCTCTCCATAATCTCCCAATTAAGAGGCTACTATGATTTCAATATGGCTTAATTGTGTCCCCCAAAGGTGCGTAAGCTTTGTTGCCTATTCAGTGATATTCAAGGGATGGAATCACTAACAGGTGGGGCCCTGAAGGGAGGTTGGGTTATGATTGCTAGTGTGAAGAGATTAATGCTGGTGTCCTGGAGTGAATTAGGTCTTGCAGGAGTGCAGTGGGTAGTTATAAAAGAGTAAGCCTGGCCCCTTTCTGCTCTCTTTCTTCCTCTCTCAAAATTTGATCTCTCCTAGGTGATCCCACCATATTGAGGCCATTTGCCATGTTTTGAGACAGTCAGCACTCATCAGAAGCTTACCAGATAAGGCCACTCAAGCCTGGACTTTTCAGCATATGCGAGAAACATCTTTTCTTTATGAATTACCCAGCCCCAGATCTTCTGTTATATAACACAAAACAGAGTAAGCATACTTTCAAATTACAAAACTGCCAGTTTGCATTTTCAAAATAATGCCTATAAATTTCCTTACCCAGACCATTAGTTATTACTGCAGGGAATGTTTTAACCAGTTGTTTCACAGCTATATAAGATGGGTCATCCTTTTCCCAGATTCCAATAGTAATTTCCACTATTCTTACACCCTTCACCTCAGTCTGTGTCTGCTACCCTATCCCAAAGCCAGCGCCATACTTCAGGGTTTTATTTTTGCAATACCCCATTTCTGAATTAGCAATTTCTGTATCAAGCAGGGTTTAGCCTTGACAACAAAGCCACCTGAGTATTAAGAAACAGTGATTAATTGTAAGAATTAGACCATAACACTATTTTGGGAGGACCTAGAGAAGTGAACTTTAGAAGAGGGAGATGAAAGATCAGAGAAGGAACCATCAACCAACCAATCTGAAAAGCCAAGCATACACAGCTGCTATGGTGATGATGCTATAAGGAGGAGTTTGTGGAGAGTTCTGCAGTAGGCCATTACTCTATTAACTGCATATGATAAAGTGATATAAGAGATAAGGATTAAACCACACTGTTTGCAAAGAAATTTGAAGAACAGCATAGCACTTCCTAGAATAAAAAATAAAACTATCCTTCTTTTTCTCAAATCATTAAGTCTCAAAATAAGAAATGCCCTCAGGGTAAATATCTGATTAAAGGTGTTTAAGTTCCTTTTAAGACCTCACCTAGTTGATTTACTCAGCTAGAAAAAAGTGCTTAAGAAAATTATGCCACAATATCCTAACAGGGCCCAAAGTACAGAGAAATCTGTCAAGCCTTTTCAGGCTTGACAAGAACAACATAGAGAAGAAAAAGTTTATTTGGCACTCACAGTCTGTTTCAGAGGTCTTAGTCTACTGTCAGCCAACTCCAGAGCTCTTGGCCCAAGGTGAGGCAGAACAGAACATCATGGAAGAAGGGTATGGAGGAGAAAAGCAGCTCAAAACATAGCCATCAGGAAGCAGAGCTCCACTTACCAAGGACAAAATCCTATCCAAAGCCATACCCCCCAACCTCTGCCAGCTACATCCTAGATGCCAAAAGAATCCACAAGTGGATCAATACACTGATTAGGTTACAATTCTAGGGCTGGGGTTGTGGCTCAGCGGTAGAGCGCTTGCCTAGCGTATGCCAGGCCCTGGGTTCGGTCCTCAGCACCACATAAAAATAAATAAGATATTGTGTCCAACTAAAATATAAATATTTTTAAAAAATCATTACGGAGGCTGTTGATGTGGCTCAAGTGGTAGTGCGCTCACCTGGCATGCGTGCGGCCTGGGTTCGATCCTCAGCACCACATACCAAAAAAAAAAAAAAGATGTTGTATCCGCCGAAAACTAAAAAAAAAAAAAATATTAAAAAAAATCATTACAATTCTAATCTTTCTTGTACTGTCTCACACATGAGTTTTCAGGGGTACATCTCATATCTAAATTATAACAAATTTGAGTTATAGATAGTATAGTTTTGGAACATGGAATAAACAAATCAGATTCATAAAAATTCCATAACATTTACAAGAAATATGTACCAGTTGGATTAAAAGGTACAGTTCAAAATGAAAAGCAGCCTCTGAAACCCAATTTTCTATAATAAGTAAGTATAATGAGAAAGGTATTTGGCTTTTTAAAAAATATATTTATTTCTTTTAGTTGTACCCAAAGCCTTTATTTTTATTTATTTATTTTTATGTGGTGCTGAGAATCAAACCCAGGGCCTTGCACGCACCAGGCAAACGCTCTACCACTGAGCCACAACACCAGCCCCAGGTATTTGGCTTTGTAAGACTTTTTCTTATATAAAAGGAGACTTCTCAGAAAACAGAGACAAAACTACAGAAAAATGGATTAGGAAACAATAATCCTGAGAGCAGAAGATGACCCCGAATGAAAGAAAATCTCTGGTTCCTGGAGTAGGTAATTCTAATAACATGTGCCCACCTGGATTTCAGAATTGATATATATCAACAACTGCTATGTGCCTCCCTTTCCTCTCTCTTTTGAGTGGGAATGTCTGTGTCATTAGTCTATGTCTGTGACACTGAGAGATAATACAATAATTATAGGTAGGTAGAAAGCAGACAAAAGAGAAGGAAAAGAAACTATAGCTGTAAATCTAAAAGTCCAATTATCACACATATTCTCTAGATCTATTTTTCTTCCAGGTTTGTCACTCCCAAATTTCTGAGAAATCTACAAATCTTAAAGAGTTGTTGTGGGAGGGGGCAGGGGATTAGCAAGGGTGGTGGAAGGTGATGGACATCATTATCCAAAGCACGTGTATGAAGAATCGAATTGGGTGTCAACATACTTTATATGTAAACAGAGATATGAAAAATTGTGGTTTGTTTGTGTAATAAGAATTGTAATGAAAAAAAAGTACATATATAAAGGCATGAATTGTCATGAACATACTCTATATACAAAGTTATAAAAAATTCTACTCTATATGTGTAATAAGAATTGTAATGCATTCTGCTGTCATGTATTTAAAAAATAAAATGGCTATACAGAAAAAAAAGAGTTGCTGTAAATTTACTCTTCATAATGAAAACTGCCTTATTTTGATTAAAGCTTGCATGCACTGTTTGCCTACACAGTGTATTTTCAGATTAGATGAAAATAAAGAAGAAGTATTTTAAGAAACCTATAATATAGGCAAATTCCAAATGTTATCCAGATAGGAGAAGACAAGGTTAACCACAACCTGAAGATTGTGGAGAGAACCAGATCACCATAAATGACTTGTGATCCATGATCCAAGAATTGAGTTTATCAGGTGGATGTCACTCCCATACACTTTCCCATGCCCACCTCTTGCAAAGCTTCCTTTAAGAGAAAAAGCCCAGTGTGCTTAAATCTAAGGTTACTGGCAAAACCAGCCAAGCAAGTGTGACTTTACAAAAAAAAAAAAAACCTAAGACCCTTAAAATATGTCTCACTGGAGTTAGCCTATACTCTGCTCTAATAATATGTATCTTCACCTTTCACTTTATTTTTTAAAATTATTTATTTGTTCTAATTAGTTATATATGACAGCAGAATGCATTTCAACTCATAGTACCCAAATGGAGCACAATTTTTCCTTTCTGTCACCCATTTGTGTCATTATACATGATGTCTGTCTCATTCTACTATATTTCCTACCCCTACATCCCCTCCCTTCCCCTCCCTCCCCTTTGCCCTATCCAAAGTTCTTCCATTCCCTCCCTCCCCATATGGATCAACATCCACTTATCAGAGAAAACATTTGGCCTTTCACTTTTGGGGATTGGCTTACTTAGCATTCTGACTGGAATGAGATGAAATCTTAGAGTAGTTTTGATATGCATTTCTTTAATTACTAGAGGTGCTGATCATTTTTTCAATATTTGTTGATTGACTGTATATCTTCTTCTGAGAAGTGTCTGTTTAGTTCCTTAGCCCATTTATTGACTGGGTTATTTGTTTTTCTGATGTTAGATTTTTTTGAGTTCTTTATGTAACCTGAAGATTAGTGTTCCATCTGATGTGCATGTAGTAAAAATTTGTTCCAATTCTGTAGGCTCTCTCTTCATCTGATTGTTTCTTTGCTAAGAAGAAGCTTTTTAGTTTTAATCCACACCATATATTGATTTTTTATTTTATTTTCTGTGCTTTAGGAGTCTTGTTAAGGAAGTCAGGGCCTAAGTCAACATGATGAAGATTGAGGCCTACTTTTTCCTCTATTAGGCACAGGGTCTCTGGTCTAATTCCTAGGTTCTTGATCCACTTTGAGTTAAGTTTTGTGCATGGACAGAGACAGGGGCTTAATTTCATTTTGCTGCATATGGATTTCCAGTTTTCCCAGCACAATTTGTTGAAGAGGCTATCTTTTCTCCAATATATGTTTTTGGCACCCTTGTCCAGTATGAGATAACTGTACTTATGTGGGTTTTTCTGTGTCCTCTATTCTGTATCATTGGTCTACAATGGTATTTTGGTGCCAATATTATGCTGGTTTTGGTGTTACTATGGTTCTGTAGTACTGTCATGCTAACTGCTTCACTCTTCTTGCTAAGAATTGCTTTGGCTATTCTGGGTCTCTTATTTTTCCAGATGGATTTCATGATTGCTTTTTCCATTTCTATGAGGAATGTCATTGGGATTTTGATTGGAATTGCATTAAATCTGAATCATGCTTTTGATAGATCTTTTAAGGTCTTCTTTAATTTCTTTCTTGAGAATTCCCTAGTATTTCACCTCTTTTGTTTAGCTGATTCCCAAGTTGTTTGTTTTTTTGTTTGTTCGTTTTTGTTTTTTGAGGCTATTATAAATGGGGTAGTTTTCCTAATTTCTCTTTCAGAAGATTCGTCACTGATGTACAGAAATGCATTTGACTTATGGGTGTTTTTGTATCCTGCTACTTTGCTGAATTCATTTATTAGTTCTAGAAGTTTTCTGGTGTAATTTTTCAGATCCTCTAAGAATAGAATTATTTTGTGGGGCAAATAATGATAGTTTTGAGTTTTTCTTTTCCTATTCATATCCCTTTAATTTATTTCATCTAATTGCTCTGGCCAGAGTTTCAAGGACTATGTTAAATAGAAGTTCACCTTTCACTTTCTGATAAAGCTCTTATTCTTTGTTAAAACCTGATGCAGTGACCTTCCTGCGACATGTCAGAGTCTAAAAGGCAGCCACTTAGAGAGAGCACCTCAAATACCCTTATGGTGACATTTGTCTGGCAAGTCAGCTCAGGAGGTAAACTGAGGGTAGTAGATTCCTAGTGAGTGACCGGAAGTGCCTTACTTGTACTCTCATAAGAAACAACTTCTTTTTCTGGCACTCTTCCTCTTCAGAGTCACAGAGTATAATTTCAAACTGCCCAAGTGATCAGGGTTCCCCCTCCTTGGAGGGTGGCGGACCAGTTCCTTATATGAAGTAGATCCAAGCACCACATGGATGATGGGGCCATCCTAGGGGTTTGACTGAGAATCACACTTCCTAGTCAAGCAGAGTTCACTAGTGTGCATGCTCTCTCCTTCCCTTCTTCCTCCTAAAATCCTGCAGATTCCCTTTTCCAGCTTAGGGAAACAATAAACACTGGTTATAAAGACACCAGAAGAGCACTCACTTCCTCCAACCCACCCAGGAGAAGCTAGGATGGAGCATTACAGGTCATGCAAGTGCCTGACAGGAAAAGTCCCAAATGAACACTACCTGTTCCTAGGTCAGAAAGAATTTAACGAGTTCATCTGGGAAGACACGTATGATGGCTGATCACTAAGTGTCTTGAGCAACCTCATGTTTCATCAAACAGGCAGAACACACCCTAGACACAACAGACTGGCCCTATGGTGAGAACTTCAGAAACAAAACCAGCACTCACAATGATCTAAAACACAAAGATCCCCAGATAATTAGCGGAATGGCAAATAATCCTCTCTTCTAACTCTGTTCCTCATACTCACCTCTCTTCCTTCTCTGTGTATTTTCTAAACACAGGCAAGCTTTTCTACTCGGGCAGTCTGCTACCCTTCTTCTGCAGTAGTTTTAACATTGCTGCTTCCTCTCTTTACTCCTTACTTATTGCCCCCTACAAAAAAGATATTCCAAGGTTTGGGAGACCATGATCAGCAGGGATCCCACTTTAAGGCCCCCTTGGCTCTTTTCCACCACTTAAAAAAAAATCGTAGTTGTAGCTGGACAGAATACCTTTATTTTATTTGTTTATTTTTGTAATGCTGAGGATCGAACCAAGTGCCTCACGCATTCTAGTCAAGCACTCTGCCACTGAGCTACAGCCCTAGCCCATCCACCTTTTAAATTTAATTTAATTTTGCAGTACTAGGGATTGAACCCAGAGTGCTCTATCAATGAGCTACATCCCCAGTCCATTTTCTGAGGCAGGGTCTCACTAAAAGTTATACAGGCTGACCTTGAACTTGCAATTTTCCAGCCTCCCATCTGGCAAGTAGATATCTGAAGGTCATTTTTCTTTTTTAAAAAATGTATGCCCCTGGGGAATTAGTCACATTTTATTTTAGAAATCCTACACATGAGGATTTAGGATAACTTACAGGGGAGATGTCTTGTGGTTATCCTTTACCTCATTTTAAATGGGGTCATTTGGGATGATAAATGAAAAGCAGAACATTTTTATCACTGTCCTCATCACTCTCATTCTGATGGATACCACAAGATCCTACTCAGTGATAGATGAAGTATGTTTTCACTCTCTCTCTTATTTTTATCTCCAGACCAGAGGGTCACATCTGCTACTGACATCTCCTAATAGGTAACACCCTTGCCACAGCATTTGGAGAAAGACTTCAGGATATTTGTTTTGTTGCTATGTTAACCCCTATGAGTAATTGTGCTTACCTGCTTGAGATCAGAAATGAGAATCACAAATTATAAACTAAACCTTCTTGTAAACAGAGTTTTCTTCAGGCCCTTGAAAATGTGATTTGGTGGATCCTACAGGACACTGAGAAAGTTCAGCGGATCCTAAGGCCCCAAGGATAGTTGGGTGCTAAAATGTTCCTCAAGTCCAGAAATGCCTGACCTCTAATGCAACATAATTTTCAACAGCTTGGCCCACAGAAGCACTCTTGCCTCTGGTGAAACAGAATCACTCTGAGAGGTGGAGGCAATTGTTTCTCTTTCCTCTCAGACATAAGGTCGAAGTTCTAGCTCACACACAAGCTAAATAAACTGAGTAACACCTCACCCATTCTGGCAGGTTCGCCACTGGGTATCGGAGGTGCTTTGAGGTTAACATCCTAAAAAGTAAAAAAAAAGGACTGATTTTCTTTTATAATACCACATGGCCTCAATATAAGTTGAAAAGTGAGAAAATCTGACTTTTTTTCCTTGGTACTTCAGATTGAACCCAGGGACATTTTAAACTGCATCCACCAGCTCTTTTTATTTTTTGAAACAGGGTCTCACCAATTAACTAAGCAGTGTGGGGACCTAGATCTGTCTCACGGAAAACAAGTGGTCACCTGAACCATCCTCAGTGTCAACCATGACACTGAAGTTGGCCATCCCCAACTGTAGGGGCCTCCCCTATGTGTATGTCCTCTATTCTATAATCTTTCATGCTTATTGTTCACTATGTCACACAATAGATATCTACAACACACTGTTTTTGTTTTAGAAAGTGATTTGAATTACAAACTAATTAAACCATGACAGAGGTCTTTGTTCTGTTTTCTAAAAATCTGTGGGATCCATTTTGGTTTGCTGTAATAATTGTAACAGTTTAACTTTTTGAAAACTGGGAAATGATGAATCTAAATGAAAGCTATAAAATCTTTGTTTTCTATTTTTTATGTAAGTATATGTACATGTGGGTATTATGTATTATGTCTACATGTGTGTTTGTGTTTCTATGGTACCAAACTGCCTTATGAACACGTAAGTCCTCATAAATTAAGAAAACATACACAAATGCTTTTAGATCACATGACCTGGGTAAATCTTACAAAATACATGTTCATTTTGTGTTACCTAAAAATAGCTATTAAAAATAATTTTTAGGGGGCTAGAATTGTGGCTCAGTGGTAGAGCACTCACCTAGCACGTGCAGAGCCCTGGGTTCGATCCTCAGCACCACATAAAAATAAATAAATAAAAGTGTCAACTACAACCAAAACCAATTTTTTTAAAATAATAATACTTTTTAGGAGCTGGGGTTGTGGCTCAGCAGTACAGCGCTTGCATAGCATGTGGGAGGCTCTGGATTCGATCCTCAGCACCACATTAAAAATTAATTAATTAATTAATTAATTAAAGGTATAAAAAATAATAATAATTTTTAAGGGGCTGGGGTTGTAGTTCAGTGGTGGAGTGCTTGCCTGGCACATGTGAGGCCCTGGGTTCAATTCTCAGCACCACATAAGAATAAATTAATTAAATAAAGGTCTATCAATGACTAAAAAAAAGTTTTAAAAAATAATTTTTAAAAATAAAAATAGCTGTTAAAATAGGTAAATTAAGGTATAAGTGGAAGAAGTATTTATAAATGTATATATTAGAGAAAACATCAAAGTTATTTACAAGTAAGTTAAAATAGTAAAGCATTAACTACTAGATATAAATTCAGCTTCTTTAAGTCTATAAGAAAACAATATATTTGGGTCTATCAAGTATGTTT